GGCTGCCTCTTACCTCTTTGTCCCAGGATTGTTTTAAAAAATGTGAGAAAACAGTTAACTCCTCTTTCCTGAGCTGTCATAGGGGTGCAGTGAGTTATGTATGAGGTTCTGAAAGACTGTGGCTGGTGCACATCAAGCACCACAGACATGTCTGCAGTGGAAAAGTATGAGAATTATTTGAAAGGAATTAGTCTTTCTGATTAGTCAGTGAGGAACTTTAAAACAAAAAAAGTTCAGCACTTGACTCAGTATTAACAATTTTAAAGTAACTTTCACTTATGATTATGTGTTTTTCTCTTCCTCCTCCTCCTCCTCCTCCTCCTCCTCTTCCTCCTCCTCCTTCTTCTTGGTGGGGGAGTGGGTCAGTTGTCTTTAATCAAAAGAAAACACACCTACCTTTATTCTAGGGCAGATTTCCCCAAAACATGTTTTTTGGGATGCTAGTTCAGTTAAATATTAGCAAGGGTTATGCGAAATAAGAAAGTTGCTGGTGAGCTTGGAAGAACTGCGTTAGAGGGACCACGGGGGGCTTCCTTACTAAGACCTCTCTGATTCTCATGCCCTAACAAATCCTAAGATCTCTGAGACAGGGTAGTTTCCCACTTGTACTTAGAAAACATTCTTTTATTTACACAGCATCCTGAGAAGTCAATGTTCTATGAAATGCACTTTGGTATTATAAATATCTTGCTCCTCCTCCTCTTCCTTTCCTTTCTTCTCCTTTTCTTTCATAAAGGGTAGAGTGGCCCATCCTGGAGGCTTTCACTGATGGGAGCAAGAAACCCTTGTAGGCAGCCCAGCAAAGCTGAGGCTGAAGGCCCACTCAGTTACTTAGGAGCATGGGGCACAGCATTCATGTACAAAGTGCTCTGCCTTGTTTCTTTTCTTTCTTTTCTTTTTTTTTTTTTTTTTTGGTGGAACCGGGGATTGAACTCAGGCCCTTGAGCTTTCTACCTTGTTTCATGTTTGTTTTTTGTCCTTTTTAAAAAGGCTAAAGTATTGTTCTTACTTTTATAGATGAGGAAAGACAGGTTCAGAGGACTGAGGTAGATAGTGGCTTGGGGTCACACAGCTCCTAAAGGGTGATTCAAACCCAGTGGGGTGGCCTGAAAACCCCTTTTCCCACCACACTCCTGTGGCCCGTTGGCCCACTCCACACTGTGGTTTCCGATTTGGTGTCTGCTCATGAGGGTGCCCTCTCTGAACTCTTGAGTACTCAGGTTATTTATATACAACACACCCAGGGGATGTTTCCTAGTAAGAGACTCACGACGCACAACTCTCACAAACAATGCATAGCAGACAGGCATTTTACTTAAAATAACCTGGTACTCTCAATAAGAATTGAGTTCTTCCCATGACACTAAAAGTCTATTCTTTTTGAGACACTGTTTTGAAATATTCAGTTACTAGGTAATTACACTTAATTTAACATGCAGTAGAGTATCAGAAAGACTTTGGAGTAATTTAGTTCTCAGAGCTCATCAGTAGAACACTAATATATTACACTAATAAATACACTAACACTGTTAATTTCTTACATATTAATACACAGTAATGATAGTTGCTGCTTATCCAGTGGTTATTAATGGCCACGTACTTTATAATATGCTTTACTTTACATAGTTCATCTTACTTAATCTATAACATCAGAAGAAAACTATTAAAATGCCCATTTCACATATGAGACAAGTGACACCTAATGAGTTCAGTAGCTTGCCCACTGCCACACAGCTAAGAGGTTCTTTCCAGGAGTTCGACAGAGGTTGTGCCTTTTCAGCCTCATTGCTTAAAACCTGGTCAGTGCCCAGAACATGTAAAGGCTTTCTCTAAGTTTGTTGGGTGAATGTGTAAACAACAAAACCCTAGAGATTTCTCCTACTAGCTGGCTTTACCTAAGCACATTTGACAAAGCCCTGCTGTCTCAGCATGGGTGAAGTGATCCAACTGAAAGCTCAAAGGAAAGCCCCTTTCCACTCTTGGAGCTGCTGGTGCAACCTCAGCATTACATTGAGGGCCTGTGCAAGGATTTTGGGGCTTGCAGCCCCCACCCCCAATGACAGCAGGAAGGCTTCAAAGAGGATGCCAGGGCAGGGACCTCCACAGTGGCCTGCGCTCTGAGGAATGGGCAACTCAAGACCGGGCTTCCTCCTGAGGAGCCCTGTCTGGCGCAAGTTTGTGGCCCTTCCTACCGCTTGGCTGTCCTTCAGTCCCGTTCAGAAACCCAGGGCTGTGGTCTGACTGAACTCCTTCCACAGAGCCTTGAACCCAGAGCTACATTAACACCCACATTCCTCAGCCAGGCCAGGAAGTGGACCTGCCAGCACCTCCCAATGGACTTGTCCCTCAGCACAGGCAGATTATGAAATGTAGCACCTCACCCTGCACTTCCATTTGGAAAAAATTTCCTGCTTGGGCAGCCCCTCACTTCGCAGGATGTACCCTGAATTCATAGCATCTTATGGAAGTTTAAAGTGGTTCTTTGCCCAAGGCCTTCACAGATGAATGCCTCTATTTACCTAGTCGGGGTAGGAAATTAGACTTCTTTCCCTCAGTATACTTCTCTTCTCCTGCCTCCCCACTGGAGGGGGAGCCATCCCTTCCAGCCTCTTTCAGTTTATGTTGGTCTCAAGTCTCTTCCCCAGACTTCATAAAGTGTCCTCATCTCATTTTTCCTTTACCAAGGTGCTTCCAGGCTTTGAGCTATCCCTGTGCATTTGTGTTGACTACTGTCTTGTCATCTGACTTTTCCCTAAGATGTGAGTTCCACTAAGTGGGAACCTTGACCTTGGGGTCACTTTGCATTCTCAGGCCCTGGCAATGTAATTGGATAAGTACTTGTTGGATGGTTGACAGAATCAAGACTGAGAATAACTTCGTTTTTGAAGGTAAATATGCATGTGTGAGAAACATTTATTTACCAATGTGGCCTCAAACATCAAGCCCCGCCATCTTTACCTTTTACTCGCCAGCCTAAAGTTTGTCTTCACTGCTACACAACAGCTGAAATGGACCAGAGCAGTAGGCTGGCCCACTGTCTAGAAGCTGGGGAAACGTACAGAATCCAAGAGGAGCAGACACACAGATTCTGGGCCAGGGTAGCCGGTCACTTTAGGGAAGAAACAACATATCCGAGGGACTTCCAGGTGGCAGTGAAGTGAGCCAGAGCTCCCAAATGCCTCCCAAATTCCAGCCTGTGGCAGGAAGAGGCAGGTGGCATAATTCACCTGACTGAAGCCTGAGGGAAAGGAATGTAGCTTGGGGACTAGACCTCCATTTTGTGACAGCAGCAACCCCCAAGAGGCCCTGTCACCTGGGAGCAGGCAGCGAGACTGATCTTGATTGACAGCTGACAGGCAGCGCGTGGTGGAGTTACAGGAAGCAAAAGAATCTGAGAACTAGGAAGAACATATCCAAGATGGTGCAGGGGCGGCCAGAGGCGTTGGAGGTCATGGTGAAGGGGAAGGAGAGCTTCCATACGACACAGGAGGTGGCATCGCCTGTGTGTGGAGGGGGCGGCCTTAGAGGAACATTTCAATTATGCTCAGGCCATGCAGAATGTGACTTCTAAGGTGTGTTGAGATGCATGGCATTTGGATCAATAATTAATGAGTTCCGAAAGTCTGCCAAAATAAAAGCATTTATTTTGTTACTCTCAACGTTTATTAAACGCTTCCTCACAGACAGGACGGCTAAGCGATCTGTGACGGATGGCTATGTAAGTTTGTAAGGGATGAAGAATGGGTTTTCAAAATAATCCAGCTTCTGGAAAGCCTGGAACCAGGAATCAGGAGGAAGATCTAGAATTGCGTTTTAAAAGGTCTATCTTTTTGGAGGACTTGCAGGAAGAACTTTGTGCCGCATCCAGGACACGTCATGCCACAACCAGTCCAGAGGGCGTGTGTGTGTCCACTGATCTGGGACGTGCACTCCCGCAGTGAGGTCGGCCTCAGACGCAAAAGCCGCCCGCCACCCTGTCGCCCGCTGAGAGGATCTGGCCGCCAACGCCTGGAAAAAAAAAATAACAAAAAACCCCAACATAATGAATATCCCCAGGGACTTTTTTTTTTAAAGTTAGCCGAGAAAACAAGAGATCTATTTCCCCGGAAATTAGATGCACAGGGGAATTCATTCCATCCTGGAGGATGGGAAGCCTTTGCAGAGAACAGTCTGGCTGCGGGCGGTGGGGGAGCGCAGACGGTTCCAGAAACTGAACGCAAGCATTCCCCCCTCCAGCCCACGCCTGCCCCTCCACGTGACTGGCCCTCCGGCTGGCGGCCACCAGGAGCGCGCCAGGCGCCCGGGCGCCCAGCGGCGGGCTCCCCGCAGGATCCGCGTGCGCCTGGCCAGGTGCGCCCGGCCCG